TGTACTTAATCTGCAGAAAAGACTTCGACTAAGCCTCCAGTATATTCATTAGTCCTGGATCATTTGAACTTCACGGAGCTTATTTACTTATTTTTAGGATTAGCAACACAAATTATTTAACCAATGTATTGATTAAGGCCCGTTTTTATGCATAACACTGTCTGGGAGTTTCAAATGTTGACTATGTGGGAAATACATTTTTACTGACATATTAACTAATTCTTCCAGTTTAATTGAATACGAACATTTTTTAAAACTCCAAACACTAACAATTTTACTTGTTTTAAAAACCTACTGTTTTTACACAAAACTAGTCATTGATCCCTTTCTGGAGGTAGAAGGAAACCCAGAAATGACATTCCTGACCTAACTGTGATAGAAATTATACAGCACTGGAAAAGTGGGTCAGCATTTTATCATTTACAAATCTAGGTCAGGTCAGCATTTCCCAACTAGTTTCTACTTGTAAATTCACATGCACCACTATTATCTCTTGAAATGGAGAACGTGGAAATACAGGGACAAATGTAAGGTAATATGTAAATGTGCAAAGACACCCAACACCCCGTGTGCCCAAGATAAGTGACCACAGGTGATTGAAAAGATTTCTAATAACACACAGAAATATTAACATTTTCTTTTGCACTTCAACTCTGTTCTCCACTGGCAATATTGGTGGTCATTTGTGCCTATTTTCATCTCATTGTCATGGTACCTAGAGTGCATTTGCTATATTTGTGCTGCTTAATTTGAGCTATTTTATGGACACCTCACATCTAAGTATGAAGCAACAAGAGTGTCACAGGTATTAACAAGAGAAAGCATACATATAACTATGATTAATAGACTTAAGAAAATGAAGATGTAAATGCTTCACATGTCCTTGATAAATGATTGATAAGAGAAACTATTCTGAAGGAAAAGTGCAAATTCTGCTATGAAAAAAGTACTCTGATCATGCAGTCAGATAAGACAAAGAATGACAAAATGGAAAAACCTGCAAAAATATCGAGTCAGGGTAGGAACCCTGGCTACTCATTAGAATCACCTAGAGCTTTTAAAAACAATCAGTGCCCAGAAATTTGGACTGAATTGGGTGGGCATATAGTTTCTCAAAGTTCCCTGGGAGTTTTTACTTGCAGTCAAGGTTACAAGTCACTATGCTACAGAAGACCAGAATCTACTTCAGATACCTACCTAATTAGCCTGAGGTAGTAGTTTTCAAAGTGTAGTTTATGGAATCTTTTCATGGGTTTATGCAGTCAAAACTACTTTTATAATGCTAAGACCTGCCTTTCTACTGTGATGCCATTTGTATTGATGGTGCAAAAGCAATAGTAGCTACAGAATTATCATCTTAACAAACTCCCTCCACCCTCAACCACTGAGGCATACAAACGCTGCTTTTCCTTTTGAATTTCCTGTGGAATTATCAGCATTGTTGTATAATAAAAAGGGCTCAAGATTTGGTGACAAACAGAGCTGTTAAGTTTAAATTTGAGCTTCACTATTTATCAGCAGTATGGTCTTGGGCAAGACACTTAATCATTCTGCACCTTTTTCTTCACATGTACACTGTGGCCAATAATGTAGTTTTCAATAAAGCTCTGTATGTAAAACACATGGCAGAGTAGGTGCTTAATCAATATTTCCTTGCAATCCAAACAATTAACTAATCTGGAGTTGTGCTTCACCACTCCTTACTAAGCACCATCAAAATGATTTTATTTATCTTTATCTTTCAAACCTAACTACTATTGTCAAGAGTTAAGGCATTCAATCATCTACTATCACTGTATTTGTTTCTAAACTAGTCTTCCAGATTTTAATCTTCTATGTAAATAGACCCTGCACATTGTTACCAGTTGGTTTTCCAAAATGCACACCATTCTTTTCCCTGCTCAAAGTCTTTATCAGGTACACAAACATCATCAAAGTATAAAGGCCTTGAAATGACTTCAAGATCTGGCCCCAATCTTTCTAGTCTTATCTCTCATCATTTCACTGCTTAACTTCTATTCCTGCCAGTCCCCAAGCAACTATTGAACCTCATGCATTTTGTGTCCATAACTACCATTTCCTTTATCTGTCTGAAGGATAGAAAATGCTTTCCCAGCTCTAGCTGATGATTCCTTCCCTAATCCCTACTCACTCCTTAATATACAGGTCAGAGTGTTACCTCTTTGGGGATGTCTCCCCAGCAGTTCTGAGCCACAATTACTCTTTCCTGTTTCTAACATATTTCCTATGTATCTCAGCTACCAGATGAGGGAAACTATCTCACACCCTTTCTCTGATATTTGATTTAACTATAAAATGGGGGCAATAGGTCCTACTTTGCAGGGTTTATGAGCATTACATGAATATATCTGTAAGTCATGTAACAAATCAACAGAGGAAGAAATGAAGACAAACTTCCTCAGGTTGATTAAGCAACGGCTGGGCACTGGGAATGATTCTAACCCGGTTTGGCTCAGTCTAAAGCCCATGTTCTTTCCACCACACATGTAGTCTCTCTACATCCTAGCAGCTAACACATAAAATTTACTTATTTAATACTCTCCCCCACTGGACTGTAAAATCCTTGAAGACAATGGGCACGTTTTACATGACTTTGTATCCCCAGACTCTCATTCATTTGAGTACCAACTCTGACACTGTGATGTAGAGATTAAAAGATGTAGTTTCTACTTTAAGAGCTCTGCCTAGAGAAGGGAAGAATATAGGCAACACCTTACTGCTGTTTTCTATGCAAGAGAAACACTGGGGGTATATACATGGAGTACAGATGTCCAAATAGATACCTAAAAGGAGTAGAAGTAAACAGAAGGTACAGGGAAGACTTCTTGGGAAGAGACAAAATTAAAAGTATTAATTCATAAATGATATATTTATCAGACTGTTTATGCTTTGATAGTTGTAAATTATTATTGCTGATAAACATTTTATGGTCTTCAAATGCATTTTAAAAAATGGATTCATTAAAATGCAGTAATTTAGATTTAAGTCATTATCACTGGGCTACCTCACAAATATACCAAGTGTAGGTACAAACTCAAAAAGAAACCTCATTGTGTAGCTCTTCCAACTAACAATGTACATTTTCTGAAATGTGGACAACTTAAGCTCACAGGAACAGGGCAGGAATGAAAAATTAACCACCGGGCAGTTGTTTCTATTTTCCCCCATGTCTGACTGACATGTTATATTTGAGAGCAACAAATCATTACGACATATTTTATCTTCAGTTATGTTGTTTTTATTAACAACAGCATGAGGACTTCTGGCATCTGGACATTAAAATAAGTTTGAGTTCTGGCTCACTACCTACTAGGTGTATAACCCCAGGCACGTCAGTCTCCTTGTGCCTGACTTCCATTGCCTGCAAACATATATTCAGTTTTGAGCCTGAAATAAGACAATGCTTATAAACTGATTTTTCAAATGCAGCCTGGCACATAGCAAGTGCTAATAAACGAGAGCTATTATAGTTACTTTGAAAAAACAAGTATGGCCAGATGATTCAAATACTAATAATCTTAAACACAGTATGTCTTGCTTCTAGATAGTACATAAGACAGTAAGGTGATGAAAAGAATAATCTATCTCTGACTGTACTATGAGCAAAATAACCCAACTTCAGCCTCGAAGAGCATATGCAAGAATTAAGAGTAACAGTCTCTCTACTCTTTTTGAATTGAAAAAGGAACCATATTTTCTAAGTTAAATAACCGCTCACTCATGACACAAGTGTATCCGTCCTATCATGTGGTAGGTGGAGAAAGAAGCTGGCCAAGGAAGGAATAACCCGCTAATAAACTGCCATCTCCTCTATAAATGGTAAACTTCTCCAGGGAAGACACTGTGACTTATGCCCCAGCTATAACCAAAGTAGCTGGCATAAAGCAAACAACAATTAATGAGTTTTCGATTAAATGTCTAAGGGTTTTGTGCTGTATGGGATTCTGCAGGAACTTCTGGGAACACAAGCTCAGCAACTTTTCAATGTAGAAGAGCTTTTTTGTCATGGTTGCTTTTGATACCATAATAAAAGGCATGCATCTTTTCCCCATAAATATGCTCATAAACGCAAATCTGGCACATGGACCTCATACATTCATCGCGAGGCCTGGTGTAGAGGCTGTTGGCATTTACCGTAACAAAGGTGAAATGCCTGCAGACATAGCTTGGGAGCTTTTTGCTATTACTACTGATTATTACATCTGTCCTCTGCCTATGCTGGCTTTATTTTTCTCAACCTGGAGACAGAAGCATTTTGCGAACTTTTGTGACTTATTTCAAGCTTTTCTAAAAGACCCAAACTATTAAAGGAATCTGCAATAAGACAAAGTAACACATGAAACGTTCTTAATGTGTGGAAGGGGAGGAAGGCCCGAGGCCAGACACACTCCAAGCACTTTAAGCTCCTAGAAGAGAAGCCACCTCCGCAGACAACTCCAATCATTAAAATATAGCTCATAAAGTAGCATCTCTAAAGTTGAGAGAATGGAGTTGGAGGAACCTAAAAGGCCACTAATTCAACATGTGAAAATTAAGGTGTAGCACTTGGGGTTTATTTGACAGCAGGGAAATAAAAACCTGGATCAGGCCCGCAGAGAGATAAGGCGCCACAACATAACAAGCGCAAACCCGGGCAGCTCTAATGCCTCAAAATGACCACAAAGAGTCTAAGTAACTGATGGGTTAAACCAAACCAGCGCACTTCTTCGAAACAAGTCAGGAAAGTGGCCTCGGCTTGTGAGGAGGGGTTCCGCGGCCCCGGGGTCTTTCTTGGGCTGCCGGCCCTGGTTCTCCCTGGTTGGACGTGGAGGAGCCACATGGCTCCCGGGCCTATGCATCCTCCGAGGCCCGGGAAAATCAAGTTAGTGACAGGGTTCCCTAGCCGGGGACCCGGGATCGCCGCCCAACCCTCCAGTCCTTGTGCGGGCCCGCAGCCCCTTCACAAAGCTCAGCCGCGACCCCGAAGCCCCGGTTCTTACCATAGTGAGGCCGGCGAAACCCCAGCCACATCACCCTTCCGGGCCCTGGGCGGAAGAGGCGTGCAGGTCAGACTTGCCTTTCTCGCTCCTTCCGCGGTCCGGTTGGGCCTGTCAGGGTACCTCCTCCGGAGCCGCAAGTCTCAGACTCTACGATAGGCTCCTCTCTACCGGAAAGGGCGGGGTGTAAATGACGTCATTCAGCCCCGCGGAAGTAAATGACACTCTCATTGGATGTCTGCCTGTGGGAGCGGGCCTTTTGGAGGAGACCGGAAGTGGAGTTACTGACACGTAGGGTCCGGAAGTGGAGTCTGCCTCGGTAGTCCAGTTCTTTTCTTTTTTAGCTTTGTAGAACTCCGCAGCGCGCAAATTTATTCCTGCTTGGATTCCCCCCCTACGATGTGTAAGCTTTTGGCCCTTCTGTTTATGGACTCTTCGGGAACACCTGGGTTCCTCTGGGCTTACACGCAGGGCGTTCATCTCCTGGGCTCCCTTTTCAGTTTCTCCCTTTGCACCTGAGAGATTCTTTGGAATGTAAAGCGCCTTTGAAATGCCCTGTAAACTTGTGGGATTAGGAGGACACTTGAATTCGGTGGGTTGTGTTGAGAAGGTGTTGGATCATTTCTCTAACATTGGCGTTCTCTCTTCCAATCCCCAGCTTTTTGTAAATTGTAAACGGGTTCCATCTGGGGCTGAAACGTACTAGGCCCGTTGGGGTCAGGAAAGAACTTTCTGTGGTAAAAAATGGAAAGGAACTGCGTTTCCTGAGTTCAGTAGTTGATTAGGTACTCCAGAGAAGGAGTCCAGCTGCAAGATCAATAACATGCCAACTTTTTCTTTTAATCAGTAGTATTATTCTTTAGCTTTCTCTAATTTTAATAATACCATTAGATAAGACTCTATTCCCCCCCACCCCGAGATTCTTTTTAAAATGTTATCAGTTTTTTAATGCTTTGACTTAATGTGGGATAGAGAAAAAGAGGAAAGGAAACTCACATGAGGCGTTGATTTATGTGCTGTTCTTGGCCAAACTATGAGACCCTTCTATATTTAGGGCAACACAGTGATTAGAACATTTGGGTTTCTCCTGTGATTACATCGTTAGCCACAGCCCAACACGTTTTCTTTCCTTTTTTTTTTTAAACCATAACTAACTTTACTTTTGAATCTATTGAATTAAGAGTTGGTCCAATACACAAATTTAGCAAATATTTAACTGAGCTTTATTCATGGGATCATGAGAGTGCAGCAGAGGAATAAAGATGGCCTGTTCCTTCCAGAAATTTAATGGGCACGGGGAAGAGGGGAATAAGAAATGTATAAAAACGTACTGTACCCTACTTCCTATCAAAAAACAAGCCATAATGCTCTGGCTTGTGATTGCTTTAGAGTATACCTTGCAAGTCTTGCCATTCAAATTAAATAACCTTGGCTTAGTTATGGAAATTAGGTTGTGCAACTCATCAAGCTTGGCTTCTAAAGTAGTAATTGTGTCTGCAGACATTTTGCTTTCATGTGAAGATTGTCTTCATCTTTAGGAACGCTTACGGTAATATGTAATACCTGAAGTGCACCAGGAAACTGAAGTTGTTAGAGATCACAATTGCTTTACTATATTTATGGATTTGAATTAATTTTAGGCCATGGGCTCTTATGTACTTCAGCTTCAAAATAGGAAAGAACAATGTCAGTTATTTTAAAGTTACCCATAGAGGAGCCCAAATAGCAATAGATAAGGTTGAACATACATAAATGTGTAGTTTGTTTTTCATGTATCACAGCAAAGTTAATCTGATGTGTGGCAAGATCTCTAGGGAGGTGGTAATTGAGCTGTATGGTCATTAAGCACATAAACTCCCTGCTCTTGGTTTTCACTGCCAGTGAACTAATGTAAGTACTATCTTACATTGCTGTTTCAAAAGTCTACTTTCCATAGCTCTGCTATGGATTCTCATTTCAAACTATCTTGGATCATTTTCTTACTTACTAAAAATGAAATCTGACTCTATCATTTCCTTCTTCAAAAATTATTGTCTCTCCTGCATCCAGAAGAGTATTTTTAACTTTGGTTTCATGGGTTCAGTAGGATTGTATGCAAAAATAGTATGTATTTATGTTTTTCTGTAGAGAGAATGCATAGGCTTCCCCAGTATTGTAAGGATTAAATGAGTTATTACAAGTAAGTCATCTAGCCAGGTATTTGACATACACTAAGCACTCAGTAAGGGTTGCCTGTTGTGTGCCTGGCTTGCTTTCTTCACTAAATTAAAAACTCTTTGAAGGGAGGGATAATGGTGGAGGGCTGATTGACTTGCATGTTAGGCACTCAATAAAAGGTTTTTTAAATTAATGGTTTTTAAAATTAAATTGGTATCACTTTTATACCACCAGACCACTTTCTTCCCTCTTCTCTTTTTACTTTGTGTCTAGTATTGATAGTGTTGATTATTTCTTTTTATCTGACTTCCTTTTTTCCCCTCATTCAATGATATTCACATATATTAAAAGACAATGGTTTTACTTAACTCGTTTGCTTTGATCCTCAACTAGTCTCCATAGACTGAGGTTGAAGTTTTTTGTTATCTAGTGTTCGTCTTTGTCCTTTTTTTCTTCCTCTTTTTTTTTTTTTTGCTCTACGCGGGCCTCTCACTGTTGTGGCCCCTCGCGTTGCGGAGCACAGGCTCCGAACGCGCAGGCTCAGCGGCCATGGCTCACGGGCCCAGCCGCTCCGCGGCATGTGGGATCTTCCCGGACCGGGGCACGAACCCGTGTCCCCTGCATCGGCAGGCGAACTCTCAACCACTGCACCACCAGGAAAGCCCTCCCTCTTTTTAAATTCTCTTTCCCCATGGCTCTTAGATTAAGACCCATAAAATTTTGATTGACCTGCATGTTATTTCTTTCACCTTAAGAAATGCTTCTTTTAACTTTTCTCTACTTCCAACCCCATTTATTTGCTCCTCTGAGCAAAAATCCTTTAAGGAGTTTCTATGCTCCAAGTCCCAATTTCCGTTCTACTGTTCTTTCTTGAGATCCCTTCAACATGGCTATTGCTCCCCCAAATGCTCTTGTTAGTGTCAGCAGTCAGTCTGAAACTGAATTGTTCATTTCCATATATCATTGCTATTTCTTGTCTCCAAGCCTTTGCTCGTGCAGCTTCTTCTGCCTGGAATGTGTTTCCTTATCTTTTTCCTTCCACTAAACCTTTTCCACCTTTTAAGATTTACATCAGATATAACTCAAGGAAGCCTCCCCTGAAATTTCAGGCTGTTTAACGGGCTACTTTTCAGACGAGCTCCCACCCTGCCTCTGCACTTTACAAGCTTGTATAATAATCCTCTTTGGGTGTTTCTATCTCACCAGAGAGCTGGAGATATGTCTTACTCATCTTTGAGATATGAAAGCCTGGTACATAGGATGTAGTCAGTGAACATTTTAATGCATTAATGGCATGCCCAAAGTCACTCAGCTATGAAGCTGTAGAGTTTTGATTTCAATCTGGGTCTTCTGAGTATAAAATCAGTGCTTTATTTGCAATACCTTGTTTGCAAGAAAGAAGGTGGCTATCTTCAAGCTAATTCTTTTTGTACTAGTAGGAGGTAATTAATGCATTTTATAGCCCTGGGCAGTTTGTTCCTTGTCCTTAGTGAAGCTGATGAGAAGGTGAGTTGTGTCTTTTTCTAAAACACTGGCAGAAATCAGTGAACAGAGGGTTATTATAGTCAGCAATTTTTTTTTTCTTCTATTTTTGGGGTACGTGGGCCTCTCACTGTTGTGGCATCTCCTGTTGCGGAGCACAGGCTCCGGACACGCAGGCTCAGCGGCCTAGCCGCTCCGCGGCATGTGGGGTCTTCCCGGACCGGGGCACGAACCCGAGTCCCCTGCATCGGCAGGTGGACTCTCAACCACTGTGCCACGAGGGAAGCCCAGCAAATTTTTAATATTGATAAAATTGGGCTCTTTCTAGAAGAAAACACCACTGAGACTTTTTTTGCCGAAAGAAAAAATCTGTGTGAGAATTCCAAACTGTTGATGAGGCATTCATGCTTTTACGAGATGCCAGTATTGCCAATAGCTTTAAATTAAACTTTTGCTTTTGTGCTATTGGGAAATCCCAGTGTATTTACAAGGTAGTGCACAGATTTTCTCCCAATGATGGAAGTTTGCTCTTAAGATTGAGTTAATGATGGTTAGTTTGTTAACATGATTTCTGATACTTGGCACAAAAGTTAGGTACACTAATTTTGCATATAAAACACTGTTTAATTCTAGATAATGAGCCAGACTTTCCAACTACCTTTTATGGCAGGCATTCTGGATTCAAACTTATCTCTGAATATCATCATCATTGTAGCAGTCTATAAACCAATCTTTTATAAATTTGTCTAGCTTTTAGGACTAACAGAAAAGGAAATAATTTAATTCTATAAATTCTGAAAAGGCTTTGGCGGCTTCACCCTTAGCAATGGGGTTGAAAATGATGATTAGGCTTGGAATTGCTGCAGTCAAAAACAAGTATTACTTGGAGTACACTCCTGAATTTGTGCCTTGTTTCTTTGAGCTTTACTAACCCTGCAGAAGTGACCAAAATTTTGAAATAAGCAAGGAGTTCAATCTGGTCTTTGTGTGAGAGGATGCTATTAGCTTACTTGTAATTTTGTCTGAACAGTTAGTGAGAATTTTATTGAATAAAGAAAGATCTTGCTCAGTTGGAACAGAAACAAGTGGCTGCCAAGAAATAAGATGCAGCCATTGTTGAAGAGGCTCATCAAAGTGTCCTGACAGTATAAATATTGACATGCTGAGATATGTCAATATTTACCATAGAATTTGGAAGATACCAAGTTCCTGTTTAAGAAATGTGACCCTAGCATTGAACACAGTATATCAATAAATAAGGAGCATGTCCAAATGAACAGCTGCTCAGAGAAAATCTCAGAGAAAATAGGATAACATCTGTCTAAACTTTAGGGCACTTCAAAAGTTAAATTTTAAAAATTTATTGATGCTTCTT